AGGATTTACGTTTAAGGTGCATAAGCTACAGCTCAGGGCCTCGAAGAATAAACGATGTACAGTGTATATATAACATTTAATTTCGGATCCCTTGTTTGTCGCGCTGTGTTATTGTAGCACAGGATAACACAAACAAACGGTGACAAAATATAATTTAAATAATGTTTACACAGTATATGCATAATAACAGGGATTTGTTTAGGAAAAGGGTGAGGTGTGAGATTTTAGATGCATTTCACACTGCACAATCAATGCGACTGATACAACGTCGGTAAACAGAGTAAGAAACAAACAAAACGCAGGCGGCGATCGCTCAGTTTTCCTTCTATTACAAAGCATCTTTCATAATCACCTATTCATACCAATCTTCTTTCGATTGTCTAAACGTCTGTGGTATAGTCCGATTCGTTTTACCACTACTATTAACCGGTGTTGGATATTGTCTATTGTCTCGACATTTCTTTCTACTTCTGTCTTCAGGTCACTGTCTGCCATTACACTGACAGACTTCTTTATTGATTTTATTTTGAGATTAGTTCAGATGGGTGGAATTATACACGGGAACTTAAAAATATTTAGCTTTTTCTAACAACTACAACACTTATTTTTGAACCATCTGGTCGGAGCCGACCCTTGATGATATTAGGAACAAGTTTCCTCTGATAGGGGACCTGTTTACATGTTTCCTAGGCAGATGATCTAGAAGTGGTTTGCCGTTGCCTTCTTCTGTGTGTAAATGATAATGAAAATGAAGTAATTGTTGGAATGACACGGAAAAACCGGGGAAGCCCCGGAGGAAAAACCCGTGATACCTGGACCACGGCCTTGCCCAACACAAGTTATAAATCCGGGCACCACCGGGAATCGAACACGGGACCCCAGGATTACAAGGTAGACCACCGTGGCGACAACACTTATTAGACGCTAAATAATGTCATCAGCTGATAAATCACTGTACAATGTGATACGTCCTATACATTTTCGTCAGGACGCAATACCAGGCAAAGCATGAAGCTGCTACGGAGTTCATCTCTCGTCTCCTCCGAATCACTAGTACGCAGTACACATACAAACTGAATTTTACCTGCTTCGTCAGACGGTTTTGATGCTGTGTACAGCATCGGTTAGGTCTTTCGCACATTCAGAATGTCGGTTTGGGCACTGCTGGGTGTTAAACACCGCCCCCCAACCTCCCACGGTCTTCGTCCGATGCTGTTCACACATTCGGAAGTAAAAAAGGCAAACACACATCGGAAATTCCAAAGTTAACCCAGACACAGGAGGACAAGCGTGGTCAGAAAACATGAATACTAAAGCACTGGAAAGTTCTTGCTGCTTATAAATATAGAAAAAAGTGCACTGTAACAATTTAGTGCATCCAGCATTCCTGACGAAGGACAATTGATCATAATTATGGAAGTATTTATCCAATTTTAACATGTTTCGAGAAAATAATTACTTCACAGTTAAAAAAATACCGACCGAAAAAATAAAAATTAAAAACAAATAACTAAAAAAAGTCAAATGCAAGAATTAATAATGCACCAACCTGTACATTAAACAGGGAACCAACGTCATGTCATCTGGCAGTCCGGGCTGCAACATCATTATGACGGAATGGTACTTATATATGACGAGACTTTGATTCAGTGTAGTGAGAAATATTTATTTGAATACAGTGCAAATATAGATAAATGTCGCATTTACAGTTTAGCCACCATGACTCATTAGTTGCCATGGTTTTCACACTATTATCAAAAGCAAATTTAGTAACATTCTCCCCTAATACTTTACAAAGATACACTAATTAAGTTCTAATATTTAAATAAATGCATTGAAACAGTTTCGTTGTGTATACATTTTGAATTACACAAACGAGCACAACACAAACCAGGGCTACAGAAGTAGAGTGGATTTAACTGTATTGACATTAACTGGGTTTAGAGAATGATTAATTGATCCTGCAATTTCAAAATTAGAATTGGTCAGTGTGTGTAAACCGAAGAGTGAGGAAAGTGGAAGGCCAGACCGGGATGGAGTCGGGGGTCGAGTTTGAAGAGGAATGCTATGGGTATGTATATCTAATTATTGGTTTAATTGGTGAACACTGGATAAAGCACAGGTGAATAAATTCATAAAGCGGACAGAAAATCAAATGTAGATGGGGAAAAAGTTTCCAAAATCCCCCCCCCCCAAAGTATTGTGTGCTTATTAACTATTTACTACGAATTGAGAGTAGGGAGGGGATTTATAAAGTGCGTCCCTGGAGAGAATTAGTGCGGAATTAAACCATTCGTACATTTAAAGTAACATGCGGACTCCAACAATTTTTATACAGACCAATGACCGTTAAGTGAGATTTACAAAATAAAGTTATTATATTGGTCATTCAAATGTAATATTACAGAATATTTCAGCTTTCCAGATATATCAAAGAGCGAGAACGAAGCACTGTACTTTGTAGTTAGATACATTCTCTGAACAAATTAATATGCCAATAAATCGCTACAGTATTTCTTTATTACGTATGTGAATTAAAAATATTTACAATATTTCGCAATAACATTCTTCCATTATTCATCTGTTAAAGCTTCAATAAACAATATAATGACTTATGTTATGGACGTCCGTGGGTCGTCTCCGAAGGCATTTTCTTAATGTGGAACTTTCCAAAATTGCAAATTTGATGACCATGGCCAAATTATTCTTTTTTGCTGATTCCTGTGGGAACACGCTATGCTTTTATGAACATAACATTCCATAAGCGAAATTTAAGAGAAATAAAAAATGTAATTCAAAAGACCTTCAACGTAATCCAACAAGGACAATTAAATAATAACAAACCTTTCAATTGTAAAATTAAACTTTTCTATCATAGATATAACAAAAGTTCTGATTTCTAGCTCTCATGTTGTTTAACGATACCAACTGTACGAAGGTTATACAGTACTGAATAAGCTGAGAGAGTGATCATGAATGGTTGGTATATCGTGGTATACCCAAAAAAAATATTCAAAAATCCTGAATAGCTGAAGAAAACCACGAAAACTAATAACTAATGCCAGTGACACGGTTTAGACTCGAACACCGAGCCCAACAACTAAGTCTATAATGTCACAGTTATACCAATCTACTCGTTATTATGAATCATATAAGAAAGAACCGTGATGCCAACTGAGCTGATACCGTAGCTTAGGAACAATGATGAGATAAGAAGAAAAACAACGCAACTCCGAACCTTTGTTACTCGTCAGCTGTTCTCATGTGCCTCTTAAACATGAAAAAGGCGAGGGGGCTAGAAACACTGCTCATATTACAGTTGGTATTCAGTTTTGTTTATAGCTAATATCAAAATTGTAGCTTAATTAACGATAAAATTACAAAATTGTTTACACCCTTCAGTAAATTACTAGTCCCACATTTGAAAGGGATGGAATATTTACTTTATTTTACAAATGTTAGTATTTATAGCTCAATAAATTGGGTATAGTTAACCAAATTTGAGATTAATTAATTATGTTACAATGGATGCGATTATAATTACTATGAAATTACTCTTCTCCCTGAAGCGTCCCAGCCGTTGCAGATACATTATAACAGTGACGATTACTTTAACGCTTTCTGGGACACATTAAGGTCCACGTGAACAGGTACGTCCTAACACAATGCTAACATAACCTGCGGATTAACAAAGTTAAAAACTAAACCCCCCAAAATGACATGATCTTGGGACACTTTCATCAACGTTTCACCCTCGTAAGTGACCGCCCTATATTCATCTTTCTCTAACAAGTTGGTATTTTCCAGTAGGATTACTAACAAAAATTCTTTATGGATTTCTTGTCCTCTCATAACAAAATAGAATGTGTCCAGATTGGTTTAATCTTGAGTTTCTTTATATTTACACCCATAGGCGCTCCCATTTTTTATGTTTATTAGTGACAGAAAAATGCATATTTAATAAAATACTTATGGGCACAATAAAATTATACTATAACTTTACCTTCAAATTAATATGTAACATGAACAAGTATCGATAAATACAAAATCTTGACCTTGGAAGGGGGAATTAGGTGCATCGCGGAGTGGGCTATAAATAGACAGATAACTACTTCATTGCCTAATAACTAACAAACAATTATGGTGTTCCTAGATTTCATTCTGTTTAAGACACTGTTCTAAAATTTCTGACACAAAATTGCACGTTTTTATTATTCTCAACGACTTACAGCTCATTCATAGGGTCGCAATTCTAACATAACAATATTCTTACATCCCATTCTCGGTCGTCAAATTCTACGTCTGGACGGAATTTCCCCAACACATTTCAACTATCTGTCCAGTTCACTGTTTAACGTCCTCCACTGAATTACTATAGATTATTATAAAACAAAAAATAAGATGGGAGGACCATGTATAAAGACTGCGAGACACAAGAAACACACAAAAAAAACAAGTTTGTCGATCGATAATACAAGGTTCCTGCCATTACAGAAACATTATCACAATCAAATGCGTGTGGATTGCTTGCACAAATGGGACGCGTAAATACAATTTCCTCTAATGCATTTATGTTGGCCACTTTTTGCTGTAGTGGCGTAACCATTATTTGTATTTGTTTTTAATTCTGTCATGCAACTACACTTAATTTACTAATTACGACGACCGATTTACTACAACGAATAAAATAACAATTCATTAATATTGAACGATGCTTTTTCGATTTATATCACTGAGGTCACTGGCCTCAAATCGGATGTTCGTGTTTACGCAAACTACACCGACTGCTTCTGATACTTATTACACCATCAAACTTACAACCGAAGTAATCGTCTCATACACAGATTTGCAGCCGATAATGTTTCGATAAACAACCAACCAAAGAAATAAGATTCGCGTTGATACTCGATAAAGATTTCTGTGTATATTCATACTTCGAGCAGCATATAAATTTCAATTCTCTCATAAATTAACACAATAATTAATGAATATGAACTTACAGTCAAGTTTTCCTGTAAGACTGAAAGTCGTACCGCATCGTAAGCCATTTCAAGTGTTTTAAAGATTTTGGAGAGCAACCAACGTTCAACGGCGACGATTGGGCAGAATACGGAATCACTTCAAACCATTTCACATCAACAAAGAAGCTATGTAAGATCTCGTTATTCGTCCTTAGGTTTTCCCAGCTGGAGTTCGGGAATAACTCGTACTGATGGTTGAAGGATTTCAAATGTTTTACTAACCGTCTTTGGGGTGAAAGGTTTGGGGGAGCAGTGAAGTGATGAGTGGAGGGCTGAAATAAGTGATTGGTTAAACTAAAGAGTGGGGGTCGTGTCCAAAGGGCAGCAATAATGCGATTCTGGCCGACAGAACATTCTAGTACTTTTCCTAACAACGCGGACGCTAGTATTAATTTTATCGCATATCCATCAAATAACGCTGTCGCTAAAAGTTTTTTCTTCGCCATATATTTCCTTTGTTAATAATCAACGAATGCTCCATACCGATTTTTCACTGCACCAAGCAGCACATTATCACACCCTCTGTCCAAAGGCATGGGCTTCATATCTGACCTCGCACTCAGGATCTCTCTGAATGAAGTGAAATTTTATTAAAAATTCAAGTGAACGTATATTTCTTAATTTAATCTCGCTAGCTACACGTCAAAACTTGACAATTATTGTTGTCGACTGTTGCAAAAACAAACTTTAAAGCACTCGTCCTTGATCTGAAGAATTTTACGATTAGACAATACACGCTTTGCACTCATTCGTCTCTGCTACTTGTGATGTTTCTGGGCAGAGAATCCGTGAAGCGGCCCGACTTGACGGGTGGAATATCCGGCTCTTACGCCTGAGTACGGGCTTACAAAAACTCACTGTTCAGGTCCTTGTAACATGTCAAGTTACACGATACGTCAGTTGCCACCATCACACAAAAATACTTCCCACAGTTTAGGGGGAATACGTCATATCCATCTTCAGATTCCAACTAACTCGGTAAAGAAAAATAATCAACATAGATGTGCGATAATTAATTTCTTAATGTATGTAAACTGAAAACTCTTTCACGTATCCATGCTGAAGATATCAGTGCAGTGAGTATATATAGGATACAAATTCGAAAATCGATCCCCTTCGCTGCAAGGAAATTCTCACTTAACCATCCAGTCAAGACTGACTTCAACTCCGATAATGAAAACCACATGCTTCTTCGAAATTCTGGTGAGAAACTACATGTATAATGTGAGTTTTGACATCATAAATCTCGAGTTACCATTAAAACAACACGCTAAAGGAATGCTCGACATTTTCATTACAAATTCGGCATTGAATAAGCCACCTCAACGCATATTTTACGACACTCGTTCCGGCAGAAGTGCGATAAAGGTGTTAAACTGAACGCCATGAGGCAAGAATGAACATTACCACGAAATATGAACGGCATCGTCTTTACGATTTTATTTCGGTCTGCATAGATCCTGTCAACATCGCAACTGTTAAAACACCGAAGTACCTAATCAGTATATAATCGATTGATTAATTCAACTGACACGCTTTCGTCAACGGTGTGATGTGTGAAATAGGACACCCCCTTCTCCCAACTTTGGAAGCCACTGCATCAATCTTATCGTTATAGCTGCCAATAGTTTTTTAACATCTTCTAGTGTGCTACAAACACAAAGCGAAAACAATCTTTCCCATCGGGAGAAACAAAGAATTAAAAATATAAGTCAGTGTGTTAGGTACTACAAAATCACACCAACCTAAAATATTCCTTGTTACATTGAACTGCACCCCATGGAATAGAACTAAGATCCCATCTTAAAGTTACTCCGAGGTCAAGCGACTAGTGCCTGTAACAAGGAATGATGCTACAAGACTCAATTAGCAGAACTCAGCGATATAAATCGATTAGACCGGGGAAGGAAGTAAGAGATTGAATCGACACACGGGATGCAGATTTGTCCGTTGGAACACAGATTAGGTTGGGTGTTGGAAGGAGCGGAGGGAGACGCAGACAGAAGTGTAATGGCTGCTTTAATTACTCAACTCGTGAGAGGACGGCCGAGGGTAGAAAGTGTGATGGGCAAAGCAAATGGTAGGGGTTATAGCAGAATTCCTAGAGAAGTCAATGCGGGATTTACTACATGGTACGAGGAACGAAAATAGATTAGACATGACTCCTCCAGCATTCTCTCTTCCTCTGAAAAGGGGCCACGGCAATGCAAATAAATAAAGTATGCACACAATTCAGAGTAGAGACTGTTTTGGAGTGCAGACATTACTCGTCAAGAATGGTCGCTTATTTAACCTACAGAATCAACAATATTCACTGCTTGCCGTGGCAACAGCAAACACATTGTCTTTGAAGTACGCGAATTTAATCCCTATAAACCAGGATTTTATTTATTGTAATAACAAACTAAGTTACTTAGCTGCCATGTTCTGCTATTATACATATTTACATATGTGTAAGTACCGAGTATCCCATTTAAAACGCAACAGTAAATATTACACGTGAACCCATTTATGTTTAATCTTCCTCGTGCATGCTACAGTCCCCGTCAATCTTATCGTGCTTCATCTGATAAACTTTCAGCTTAGAAAACAAAAGTTACGTCGTTTAAGAGCATTTTTTTGAGTCAGAATTAAATTAACTATCGGCAGTAAGATCTCATTTAATTACATAATACATAACATAACATAATTAATAAGATTAATGAATACGACAGCACACGTGGTATCTTAAGAAGAAGTTTAAAAACTAAAAGAAGAAAAGAAACAGCTGAAACCTTGGCTCATTCATCGCCCTGATGACGGAGGCAGTATGACCTCCGAAACGTTGGTAAACATCGACCAGACTACACGGCGCAACAACCCAGAATACAGAAATCTTCATACTCATCGCCCTGATGACGGAGGCAGTATGACCTCCGAAACGTTGGTAAACATCGACCAGACTACACGGCGCAACAACCCAGAATACAGAAATCTTCATACTCATCGCCCTGATGACGGAGGCAGTATGACCTCCGAAACGTTGGTAAACATCGACCAGACTACACGGCGCAACAACCCAGAATACAGAAATCTTCATACTCATCGCCCTGATGACGGAGGCAGTATGACCTCCGAAACGTTGGTAAACATCGACCAGACTACACGGCGCAACAACCCAGAATACAGAAATCTTCATACTCATCGCCCTGATGACGGAGGCAGTATGACCTCCGAAACGTTGGTAAACATCTACCATATACTGCACAGCGCAACCCAGAAGACAGAAATATTCGATTATTCTACTGTTTTGCAGTATGCATACATTCGCCATGTGGAAGACTTCATTTCGTCACTGCACATAACGGACCTCAGGGACACTGGAATGTCTCTCTCTCTCTCTTTTGATCCCATTTTTTTGGTACAGAATCAAACTATTAGAAGACATCCTTCATCACCGGAATATTCATAACAGTTCATTTTGTTACGTACTTCGGTTCTAAGATCTGCTATATTAGTTAAATCAAAGACATCTATATTTGTTTCCACAGTCAAGTTCTTAACCTCAATTTCAAGTTTTCTAAAGGTTAATTTTCAGAAATGTTATACCATCGAGCAAAAAACTTTAATCTAGCAGAACATGAAGAGACCAAAGTTCCTATCCCCACTAGACTTGCCATGTAAAATGGACTAAAAAGCTGAATAACTAACCGCCAATCCTTGTTTAGCGGCATTATATAAAAATAGTTTGGGACATTTTCCAGAATCTGGAGCGACTAGACTTCCGAGCCAAAACACTAAAATACTTTTTCTGTATGATGATGGTAACAGACGTATACTTATAAGGGCAAGCTGAAATTACAGCAGAATCCTGTAACTAGTCTAGTTAAAACAGTCTCGTAATCATCGTTTTACGGATCAAAACAAACGAGACATAAGCATTAAATAGCAAAACTGTGGTCGTACATTGATTCTATAAAATTCTGTGGCAATGGTTTAATAATTGTGCAGAATATTATCCAATATATAAGGAACAGACTGTTAGATTCTTCGGCAAGTCGACTTTACTCCCTTTTACGGTAATGGAGACTCGTTGTTTTCTTTTAGGTAGAAACCGAATATTTTGAAATTTGAATTAATTTCCTGCTTTAAATTGTTGACAGAGGTATTGGGTATCAGAACACTGACTGCAGAAATGATTTTTAAGACGTGTCAACTGGGTACTTTGGGTTCTTCGGACCGGTGATACGGAATGCGCGCTGGTTCGAGTCTCGGGGAAAGAAAGTTCTCATGAGCTTTCGACCAGTGTATGGGACCGGTGCCAACCCAGCATCGTGAGGAAATTGGGGAGCTACAATGGGTAGCGTAATCCGGTCAGGAAAGCTAGCAATGGCTGGGGGTTCGTCGTGCTGACCACACGTCACCCTATATCTGGTTGGATGATCGTTCACCTCTGCTTAGACATGTGAACGTGAGGCCAGCAGTCAAGCTAGTCGGCTCAGGCTCTCAAAGGGCTGTTAGGCCACGGATTATTATTATTATTATTATTATTAACCCTCTTTGCGGTTGACGAGTATAACTTTAAACTACAGCTCTATAAGCCACCGGGGTTATAAGTAGCTACACATTTATACAATTTTCGAAACTCTGTTTTGTGTATAATTACAAAGGGACCAAAAATACACGACATTCAAGACGCAGGTAACATATTTTATTGACCGTACTGACAAGCATTGCTGTAAAATACTTACACTTTGCGTCTCTTTAATGAAATAGTGGCATGAAGTAGTTTTCTCGGAACTCATGAGAGCATATTTTGTACATAATACAGTCTTATAAATAAGTTAAAAGATATTTAGTAGCATTTTCTATGAGATAAAATATAACCTTTCGGACATGATCGCATCCACTGTACATCCGCCTTCGCGGTATAAAGTGAGCACACTGCCTTACCTTATCACTGTGTCAATACTAATTAGTGAAGAGGCCTTAATCCTCTAGGACAGTTTGTTCGAGCTCCCGGGTGTTTGAAGTAACTATTTAGGAGGCAGGTTATGGCCTCAACCATACCGACTGCAATTCCATCTAGTGTCGACGTCGCTAATCAGGGTCTTGTCCGTTCCTGTCTCTTGAGAGTCGCGGCAAATTAGTGCCTTTTTACTACCATTTAATTGTTTTAGAACTGCTGCCCCGATTCGCT